CCGCAATCAGCTCGTATTGCCATGACAATCATCATTTGTATGCCAGATACAGGTCGTGGCGTCGTATTTTGCATCAGAGACCCACAGGCACTGCCTTGATTGTATTATGTGCACCATAAGGTTGCTGGTATCCGCGGAGGTGATAGATCGTGGAGCGAGAGGACCACTGGTGGTACTGGTAAGTTTCTGGGCTGTTGGCTGATGTTAACGAACTAACCTTCACCTGCCTTGTTTACGGATATGCTGCGTGATGGAGTGCGCTATAGAATGTCGACTCAATATTGATTGGCAAGTGCAATGAAGTCGTCTCGAGAGGCTGTTCTGCGGTGAAAGTAGCACGGCATGCAGGCCAAGTGATTGATCCTTTTGAGAAGAGCAGGACTCACATGACCGCGCTTGGCGACAATTCTAGCCTGAAGACAAACTTGCTATGGCGCTTAACTGAACTTACCTTTGGACACTCGAAATCATGTCTTCCCTATTATACAGCAAAGGAAGACAACTGCTAATGTCATAATCAATCATGGCTATTGAACTAACATAACAATCATAACTAACGACAATCAAGCCCACATCACAGCAAGAGAGCCGTTCAATTGTACATCCGGATCTTCCACTTTTCATATACATGGACCGACGCAACGGACAGGGGCGCTTATTTGCAGTGTCATGCTGCGCAAGCATGACAGGATAAGTGATGAACACAACGAAAACAGTCCAGTGACAGACTCCATAACAGACTCCATAACTCCACGCAAGGCCGGCATGATGATTGTAACAAGCACATCAATGGTGTAGACGAAAGGATTAAGATTATGTTCAAATGGGGTATCTTGCCGCGTCTCGAGGTATTGACATAGGTGGCATGCGACTACCAACACCAGCAGCTCCTCCTCGCCCAGTACCGGCCCGCAGGTCAAAGTCGGGGTTGTTCTCTAGGAGAACATCATGCTTCCGCTGAGCTGGAACGGGAGGTGGGCGCCAGCGGGGATTGATAGGCCGCTCAGATATTGATGTAAAGTGGCTTACTTCGCTAGTAGTCGGTGAGCTGGGTCCTTCCGCCATATCTTCCATCGGTTTCCTCTCACCAGTAGCACCTGGTGTCAAGACAGCCGGCAACCGAGGGTTGCCCGCCGCCGACTCGTTGGTAGTAGCAAACCGAGGGTCTGCATCTTCAAAATAGTCCGCTGAAGGAGTTCGAGCATGTTGTCGTGGCCCGTCATATGCATGAACAGGTGAGGGCGAGGGGCCGGCCCGCGGTTCTTCTGGAGCCCAACCGGCACGTGGAGGAACATAGGATCTGGGATTTGTTAGCATCCTAAGAAAAGGTTAGAGAGGATACACAGCTTACGCTGTCCGACTATAGAGGCTTGAGGGACTAATAGGTTCCGGATAGCCATCTGCTGATAGCGCATGTGGCTGGGGTTCGAGGTGCCCTTCATGCGATTCATGGGAGCCCATTCGTCGTGGCTGTGGTTGCATTTCGATGGCCTGGCCGATTGGGCTACCATGATCTGGAGATACTGCCATTCCAATTGGTCCAGGGGACGGCTCTCGCGCGACGGGCGGTGGGTGGTGATAGCCGTACTCATCTTCAGGCGGCGGGGTTGGTCGAGGAGCGGGACCGGGCATGTAATCACCCGGCGGGGGTCCTCGATAGCCTCGTCCCATCATCCCGGGGTGTCCACCTCGCATGGGACCCATTGGGACACCGTTTGCACCTGGAGGAGGCGGTCCTCGAGGTGGTCCTCTGTAAGGCCCTCCACGGCCATAAGCCCCGCGCGGTGGATAACCACCTCGTCCGCGGGCAAACCCTGGCGGAGGGGGCCCTCTCCGCGAGCCAACACTGCCGTCGGAATACTGATTGCGCAAACGAGGATCAGATGGTGGAGCCTGCGGACCAGAGATACCAGCATCGTCAGGTGAAGAGTTATAGGCCGCCATATCTCTCCGGACGCGGGTGAATTGACTATCGGGCATTGGAGGGTCAGGTTGAACGGTCCGTGAGTTCAGTGGGGTACGGTCGTCATCACTGTCGTGTGTAGTCGTACGGAAAGTAGCAAATGTAGGGCCCGTATCAGATGAAGGTGAAGACCCAGTGATCACAGGTTCTTTTGTATCCATGTTCGCTGCCGCTGCCGCCGTCGCTGCGTTTTGGCGGTTGTAGAAGTTCTCCCCGCTCATTTCAGCGTTTTCGTTGATTCGCTTCTTCCTAGCCTTGCGGCTCACAAGTGTCCGACGCATTGCACATGTGACCACGCCGCAAGTGACAAGTAAAATGGTCGCAACTAAGACAATCCATCCTGCCCAGGCCATGTGCGGTACAAACAAGAGAATATCGACGAGGAAGGCGAGGAGTGACACAAGAAGGGTAGGAAGCAGTAGAATCAACAGGGCTAGCAAATAGCGGGGCGAGTGCGACGGTGCATGAAAATGAGCCGCTGCTGCCATACATAGACATACAAGTGTGAGGAAGGCCGCGACGGGATGGACGATCAGAATGGCTGAGAGCGATCGGCGAGTGCCAGGTGCAATGCTGAATGTACCGTCTTCGGAAGTAATATCATCTGAACTAGAGTCAGCTGCAGTTTAATGCAGGAGTTTAGCGATCTTGACGAGATTGAAAGCAAAGAAGAGGGCGACAAACCGTCGGCGTAACCAACATGAATACTGGTGCACACATCGCCTTTGCAGTATCCGAACACGCCATAATCAATATTATCATGTCTCGCAAGCGCAATGCTTTTGACGATAGGGGTGGAGATGACTGAGATGAGGAGAAGCGCAAATGCGATCAGGAGGAGGATGGTGAGGGGAGTGGCGGGTTTGAGCAGCATGGCGATTAAGGGAGCGGAGCGGCGCTGCGGCCGCGATAAGAAAGGTTGGCGGAGAGTCCAAGAGCGAACAAGAGGCAGCTCTGGCGAGCAGCCCTTGGAACTAACTATCTAGAATAGTGGGAAGAATAAGAGAGAACCTTCATTCGAGAAGGGAAATCCGGGGGGGGGGGGGGGGAGGGAGGGATTGGGAACCGAAAGAGAGGACCGAAAGAACGACTGGGTTGAGTTGGATGGTGAATGAACGGATGGCCTGGACTGCGAAAGGCTGTGAGATGATCGAAGGGGAAGATGGTCGGCATCAGCCGCTCGTGATTGGTGAGGGGCCGTCTGTTAGTCAGTAAGTCATTCTCCGCCACGGTGCAACTCTCAATCCCGTCACTCCGTCAGTCACAATCCACTCTTCATTCTTTCTTGCCTTCCCATCATCTTGTTCTGTTCCCTGCCAATCAGCTGCATCCTAGTTTTCGATCCACATTCATCCTGGTGGCCTTGATTCCCTGATTTCATTTTTTTTTTCGTTTCACCTCTATCCATTGACCTTGCTGTCTTTCTCGTCCTCCCGTCTTCTACCGTGGCTAAGCCGCCTATGCGCATCCACCAGCCTTGAGAAGCGCAGTAAGCAATGCCCCCCTGTTCCCACGCCAGGCTGTCCTTTGATTCGCTGGACCGCAGATAACGATAATGGGGCCGAGTCCCACGCACCACGAGTCCAACTTGTTTGAAATGACGATGGGCCCGTTTGACATCGCAAAAGCTCGGACGAACCACCCTATGCTGCGCAAACAAATTGGCTCAACTCCATAATCGGGATTTCTCTGGGGTTCTAAGCTACTAATAATAGACCCTTGAATAATTCTACGTAATGGCACATGCGTAACGACTAACGAACAAACCATCTTCCACCGCACTTTCGCACACTTCGCAAGCCCAGGTGGAACGTCCCGTCTGACCCCATCTCCCGTCCAGGTACAATCTGGTTTTTCCTAAGCCTATCTGGTCACTCGTGCCGCAGACTTGTTTTAGCCAAGGACCGGTTGGAGTTAGAATCAACTACCGCGGGGAGAGAAATTCGGATCCCCGAAGCATACCCACATAAAATAAACAAGCGAGATTTTAACGGACTGGACCCACGGAGGCAGCCATTGCATTCTTCCTAAGGCTCGCCATGGGGATTTTCACATGAATCGGATAATACGTCAGGGGCATACTCTGACAAACTGCTGACAGGCACACATTCTTACCCTGACAGTATGTGCTGTTTGCCGTACACTGCATCGAAAATCAGCGGAACAATGAAACGGGCTTTACCCCCTGAAATTCCTTTGACGATCGGGTCTTACTCTAGTCCCTGCGAAGGCCCTTGAACTTGCACGCGAACATTGACCAACCAGCACACATACTTTCTTCAATCTTAGCTTTAGACCACTTTCTAAATAAATTGGGCTATCACCCTGTCCGTTAAATGCCCTCTATTTCCGTTATCTTTGAGATAAGCTACGGAAAGCAAATAGGTAGAAACTTTCTGGATTATGTATATTTGACACTCTAAACATAGTACACCTTCGGAGCTCCGAAACGTGAGTGGGGAATATTGCTCGACACTCAGACATCTTGGCCATCGAGCGACAATGGATCATAGTTACCTGTCGCAGAATGCCAGTGTTTGGTGTCCAAAAAGACGGAATAGTTTTTACATGCCTTTTAGGCCGGCCCCGCAGCTTTCTTAGAATGAACAGAGTACTCCTGTCAACTGTTGAGGAATCGCCCATTGAATTCAGCTTGAATCAACATCCTACCCCCTAGTTTCCAACCAAACCAGCCTAAGGCCCCAGCACAGCCAGTACCCGCCAAGTCATAGCCGACCGCAGAAGGGTGAAAGCAGATCCTAAGTACAGGGTTTCCGGATACTGGTGCCACCACTTACACGGAATACTCTTGGACTATTCCAGCTTTGCCAGCAGCTTCCTGATCTGACATCTGGAGCTTCCCTTTGATTCTGCTCTCTAGATCATACCTTCACATTCTGGTAGGCTCTGACTTTCCATAAGCCAGGGGCAGCTCCTGCCCATCATCTTCGTTTGCTGCTACTGCCTTAATCACATCTTCAAAATCTGGTAGACTCTTTTCAAAATTCTCCAAGATCTCCTGTATGATCTTATCGCCTTAAACATCTTTATTTGCTTCTGCTGCCTTAATCACATCTTCAGAGACCTGTAGGCTTCCTCCACAATGTTCTAGGAGCTGCTTGAAGATCCTATGCCCAAAAAATCCTTCATTTGCTGCTGCTGCCTTGACCACAGCATCAGTGACCGGTAGGCTCTTTCCACAGTGTTTCAGGAGCTGGCCCATAATTGCAAACCCCAGGAATCCTTCACTTGCTGCTGCTGCCGCGACCACATTCTCAGAGACTGGTAGACTGTCTCTACAGTGTTCCAGGAGCTGCTCCACAATTCTAATCTCATAATTGCCTTCAAATTCAACAGCTATCTTGATAATGTCCTCAAAGCCTGCCAGGCTCCCTTTACGACGTAATCCGGCACTGTATAGAAACCAATCATAGGACGTGAGCCCAGTTTGTTGCAGTATCTGCATCATAATGCCTTCTGAGATGAGTGATATATCTCGCAGTCTTTTTTCCTTCTCGGAGGCTTTCTCTTGGTAATGTGGTACCACGTAGATGAGATCCTTTTGGTCGTCATGTTCTTTATTCTCTTCTCCATCAGCTGAGGATATATCCCAAACCATAACAATGTCGTGAAGAGAGCCTTGTGCAGGGAACCCCAATTGGGTGGAAACTCCATTAGACCTTTCCATATTGCCATATGACTGAAGTACTGTTGTGCTCACAATGACAGTGAAATATCCCCTGCAGAGTCGAACGATGATTGGACTTGAGGCACCTTTCAATAGAAAGATAATATTACCTTCCTTTACTGATTCCGCAGAAGCGTTAAGCTTCCACCTAGTGCCCCATCTGGTTTCGTAACCTAGTGCACGAGCGGTGTCATTGTACTTTACCTCAAAGTGTTGACTACCATACTTGAGAAGGATCTTATCAACAAAGCCAACATAACCTAGAACCAATCCCTTTTCTTTGATCACAGCAACTGGTGACCCAGACCATGTCTCCACAGAGCATGAACTTGGGAATACATGCATAATGGTCTGCATGAAGACCTCATTCCATGGAAGACGATAGTTGGGTTTTAAACCAACCTCTTCAGGATCTTCGACGGACAGGCCTAGCAATGAGTATACCTTGTCATGTAGCTTAGTTGCCTTGTGAAAGCGGTACATGTCAATCAATTCACCTATAGCAAGTGTCCCACGGGAATCAATTTCATATCTTGGTCGGAGAAACAAGCCCTTAATCAGGTGAAGGACTGGGTAGATGAAGGTTGGCAGAGAGAGTGGGGATTTTTCGAGACCTTCACAGAAAACATGCCCATTTATATCCACGGAGCCACAGAGGATGGAAATGCATCGGGCGACACCAACCTCCTGGAGTACCTATAATAATTGGTTAGATATGCATACATATAAAGCTTATTCAATGCTTCCTTACCCATGTACGTTGGAACCAATCGCGCTGTAATAATCTTGAACATGGATCCAATAAGCTATCATCCAATAAGCTATCATCGCATGGGATACTAGCTGCTGCCCAGCGCTGAATAGTTTTGAGTGCTTCATCACCATCCCGCATAGCCTCTCCAAGCCAGACAACAACGCGATCAGCTTGTGCATAAATTGACCGCATGAGAGGGATCTGCTCGCTCTTCTCATCATCATCCTCTTGATTAATACATATTGCATCAATCCATAATATTCTCTCCAGCTGATTGTCTCGGAGGTGTATCAAGGCTGTGTAAAGGTTCCGTGTAACATGAAGCTCACATCCATTCACAGTTATTGTATGTGTCTCACTTTGGCTGCCCCATACGTAGGACAACGCCTCATAGAGATGCTTTCTACCAGTGCTCTCTGGCAGTATATAGGTGAAGAGCTCGCATCTTATCGGGGTATCGTCTTTTTCGGATGGTAGAAGACGGACGAGGCGTGTAGAATTCGGTCCGAGCTGAAGCTCGGAGTAGTTAAAAGGGGCCATTCTCCCCACTTAAGTGGTGTATTTTGGGTTTACGTTTGTTTAGCAGTGTGGAGTATATATTTTTTTTCTTATTTTCATTTAGCGAGATACATCAGGTCGGCTCAGGACTAAAAGATGACATATATGGGTGTTGTAACATCCAACCATGCTCGATCGGGTTTATAAGGAAGTATACTTACCCCTCATTGTTACTAAATGCATGAGTTGGCATACATGACGTGGCCAGGATCAACATCGACTCGGATTAATGATGGCCCGATTGAATGTTATCATAGGACCATAGCATCTAACTAAATGGTAAGATCAAACAAGACACACAAATTTCTGCTTACGCCTAATTATTTCAATGGTTCCCCTCCACACGCAATATTCCTAAACCTGGTTCCCTTACTACTAAAATAGCAGTAATTATACTAATCCACTGTTTTGTATAGTAAAGCATATCTGACAAGATTCCTAAATTAGAATTCTAATACATGCCTTGTCTTCCTGCCAACCTGAATGGTACAACGAGATATTACAAAGTATATGAATCATAATATGTCTATATAGCTCCGGTGCTTTAAAGCTATAAGCATCTATTAGATGTCCATATTAGTATAATCAAAAGTCACTGCATTCAAACAGTTGTCAAAACGCTTTTTGCATACTTACACAGGCAGAGATAAGATAGACAAAATCAATCAGCGGAATTTGATGTCATTCTACACAAACAAAACAGGTAAAGAATTGTATGTCCTTACCCAAAAAGGCAAGGGACCAGGCTAGGAACATTGCAAGTGGACAGGGACCAATTGAGGAATTAGGAGTTTCAACTTATTCACGGAGTAGACTGTATCCAAATCCGAACTAGGACCAGGCTATACCTGCCCTCTATCGTATTCGTATCCTCACTGAAACCGAACGCACAGATCTCATACCACTAGTTACTAAAATATGTACTTATCTCGGATATATACATCGCACCATTGCATCCATCCACCCGCCCAGCCCGGTTCTTAATCACTGCAAATGACTGTAGTCTAGTAGAAAATAGTCATCAACACACATTCTCCACATGCAAAAACACCCCCGGCAATCCAGACCCTTTACAAACAGCCAGATGATCCGACACCCGGACCACCGCCTGTCGCACGGAAACGGTTAGTCCGATGGGTCCGCAAACAGCAACAGCTATTTCGCCTCTAGCTTGCAAGACGGCGTCCTCGATGTAACCGTCGAACGAAGGTCTTCCCTGCGCGAAGGAGATTCTTGGAGGTCCCGAGGTTTCGAGGGCCGAATCTGGATCCGTGCAGGGTGAAGAAGGGGCTATTTGTTCAATTTTGTCGACGTCGTCACTGTTGTTAGAGCAGGTGCAGGGATCTGTGCAGGCACAGGTCTGTTTTTCATTGTTGGTTTTGCTGTCGGTATCTGGGAGGCAAACAGAGTCTTGTGTTATGAAAATTTTCACCCGGATCTGGATATTTGTGTGCTGCAGCTTCTGCATCGCGGCTTCAAGCTCGGCCAGAACCCAGGACGCTTGGCGGCTTTCCTTGATTACCCAGATGAAGAGGACTTGGCGGAGAGGCAATGGCCCCTTTGTGGAACGGTGTGCGACGTGGAGAAGCTGAGATAGGGTGAATGTTACACCTGTGCCACCTGCGAGGAATAGGGCGGAATCAAAAGATGTGAAGTCTGGAGCGGAGCTTGCGTAGGGACCATCGAGTAGAGCGGTGTATGAACGCTTGGTTTGTGGGGATTCGACGTCTTTGGAGCAGTTGCTGGTGGCTTCTGCGGTGTTGATCAGCTTTCGCGTGAAGCCCTTGTGGGCTCTTAGAAAAAGGACTAGTTCGCCGTCGTGGGACGATGGTATGGATGAGATGGTTGCTGGGTGTGAGAGCTGGAGCCCTAAGCGCGGGAGAGATAGAAGGATGTGCGACCCGGGCTTCCAGTTACGGATCTTGCGAGCAGTAATTCGGACCTTGGTGGCGCCGCCTTCCAGGGGTTCTAGTATGGCTCGTGCGGGGCGAGAGTTGATGTAGCTGTAGTAGAAGGATCGCAGGATTAAACCAGCGACGTAGATACCGGCGGTGACAAAGACGTAGCGCTGGGCGTTTGGGGCTGGGCTGGTGTCCAGATGATAGGAGAGGGCGATGATGAAGCCGAAGAACGTGATGATGTGTTGTACGACGAAGAACTCGTAGCTCATATGTCGGAAGGGGGCTAACGTTGTGAGATTCATCCATAGGATGAAAGCGTAGGCGGCGATACCCTTTGTGGGACAGTCATCTGTGTCCCACTCCAGTCTACTTATATGATAAATATCCCACCCATGATTTTGAAAGGCGAAATGGAAAGTCGAGAGCAGCAGGAGCCCTCGAGATACCCAGCGATGGTAGATGTTCAGTCGGACATAGGGTATGCCGCAGAGCATACCGATCAGGTTTCTTTTGCCGGCCAAGGCTACAAGGAGGGGAATCTGAGCAGCTGCAAGCCATCCAGCGCGGACTCCTAGAAACTGCCAGTACCCAGCGCCTGCAACATCGTTGTTGACGAACTCCAGAACGATGATGAAGACAAAGTATATGAGGATGATATATATCGGTCCGAATGGCGGGATCTTGAACCAAGGTGACAACGCACGGGGGGTCCACTGGAGATAAGATGGCTCCCGAACCAGCGCTGTGGTAGTTGCGAGTGTGGTCGATGTAATATTGGCAAGGCAAGACTTGTAAGTTATGCTTGGATAGAACCTTTCCGCGACGCCGAATTATTAGCATCATATCCGAACCAAGTCTCTAAAAACTCAATATGCTTACTCACCTCAAACGTTGAACAAGTGAGTACACCCTGTTGATGACCGCCACCACGACCAGCAGAACAATAACCCCATACCAGAAATACTCCGCATAGAGTGCCCCTAATATAGGAAGATACTCCAGGTGCTTGAGCTCATGCAGAAACGTCTCGACCTGGGTGATATTAGCAAAGTCAACGTCGGAGGCGTGCAAGACGCCGTAGTACGTCCCTCCGCTCATACCCTCCATCTGCATTTTGGCAGACGGGTCACCGAGGCTGTGACGAAAATCAATTCACAATCTTTGGTGCAGAGGCAGTTGCCCGACCATGTTCTTACTTATAGGGCAGAGGGTTCTACTGGATGATGGATCATATTCCCGCCCCACCTTCGGAGCTTAGCCTTTCTAGCGCCGATTACGCCTTGTCGATATCGTAATAATCTGCTCACAGCACAGTTCTCTTCCATCCTATGAGATTGTTCTACGAAGCACATTCTGACGAGGACGCAGTTCTATCGTGGTGGCATGACCAAGCTGCATAATATACGCTCTCTAATTTGTTCAAAAGATGTATTGTCAAGTTGATGTACTTTACCAGAAAGATAAGAACCGTACAGCCAAGCGAGTGAAGTCCGTGCGAAGAGGCACCTGGAAGCATCCATACACCGATCGCTATTAGCTATTCCATAAAGAGGATCCTTGAATCACATGGAACAGCGGCATTAGCCGGTTTCCAATGATTGGGGTATCTATTACTTCTCTTCTATATAGGAAGGGACCGGCTGTATGTTAATAGTCACAGAGACCTCGTCATTTACTGAGGATGCCAGCCTCGCGAATGAAGCTGCATCAAGGTGGTCTGCTCCTTTAAAGAAACGAAAGGTATAGCTCTCACTATATGGTTTCAGCGCATTATGCTGTATAAGTATCCCAGAATTCTGTCCGATATCAAGGCGAACCTGCCCCTTTATCCTGGGGTCGTTATGCGACCGAAACCAAAAATTAATGTTCTCGCAGAAGGTAAGTCTCGAGTCTTCTCTTGTGAACGCTTCAAGATAAACACTCAGCAGAGAGGGCATGGAAGTGCGCTCTTTGAGTAATCCCACAACATCTAGGAGTAATGCAGTGATGTAATGGAATCCAATGTCGGTGATCTTGAGTGTCTTGAGTGAGGCAGGAAAATGGTCAATGAAGGATTTTGGATGACCCTCATATGTACGTTGGTCTGGAAGCCCTGTAAGATTTACATGTGGTATAGTGAGATGCTCCAGAGCACACAGATCCTTGAGTGACGACCATCGGAAAATACTCATCTTGAGGCGATCGCACTCGAGCCCTTTCACTCTAAGGCCTTGCCGTAATCTTTCATCCAACCGAATAGAAAGGGACTTCAGGGTATCCTTTACCATCAGGAGGACTTGGCGTGAATAGTCGGTGACTGTTATTCTAGGTGGTTTACGCTTCACCTGACTTATCACAAGATCAAGACGCTCGAGATTAATCGATTGTCTGAACCATTGAATCACTTTGTTGGAATATATTGACGGCCAAATAGTAACCTCTTTGACTGGACAATTTGTAATAATGAACTTGTCGTGACGCAGGCACTTTTCGAGATCTTGTTCATAATCCCAAAAGTCAAAATGTCCGCACACACTGACATGGTTGAGAGCCGGAAAACAGAGCGGGTACAGTATATGCTGTGAAGTAAGCAGTGTTTGTGCTGAGATCTGCCTGCGGTTTTGGAAGAGGAAGAGATCTTTGAGACATTGAAATGGAGCAGCGTGAATTGGTGGTTGTGGACGAAAAGCTGCTGATCTCCAGATTCTTGCTAGGTACGTCTCTGTCAGATCTGAAAAATCATTGTTCTTAAGAATGACCTTCAAAGTCGTTAGACATGTCAATTTAAGTGAGCGTTGCGCAAGCCCATGCGTCTTTAGATAAGCTCTCCAGACCATCCCACCACACCCATTCATCACATCCCAGTTCACATAATGCAGCCACAAGTTCATCAATGAAGGGCTTATACTCTTTGCGCCTTGGGGGGAGTTCATCCTTGCCGTAGTCGTCGTACCCCCCTATCCTGAAAGCGAAGTGACGAACAAGACTCGCCAACTCAGGCGAAGAGCACAGTCGTCGAATGAGATCAAACTGGACGGGTGTCCAGATGCTTGGTAGGGTGATAGAGGAATAGAGACGTGGTGTAAACAGCGTGTGGAATTCGACAGAGCTTTCAGTCAAAGCCCTTTGCGTGGGCTTGTCATCTACAAAGGTCCCGATCATCTCGAGAATTTCGGTTGGCAAGCGCACCATCTTGTCGGACTCGTATGACCCGGTGTCTCATGCAAATACAGCGTGCTGAGACATGCTAGAAACTTCGAGTTGCGCGTTATATCCCCAAATCAAGGATTACCTGATTTGACTGTCAACAAGAATTGCGAATGGAAGTTACCTTATGTTAAGCTAATGAAAATGTAGCCATCCTCTTTAATCGTAAACAAACGGCTTGCGAGATGGCAAACTCCCTTAAGCCACGGCGAGCTCCGTTTGATACTTCAGCAGGAGCAATATTACTGGTCGCAAGGCTTCCTCATCATGTTTTCACTGGCTCGGAGGATCCAAGTAGTGTAACTCACGTCTGATGGGTTACAAACATAGTGTGTCAGAAATAACCAACTACCGGAATCTACCAAGTCTGGGCTCTTCGCTGTTATGCTTGTTTACAATCGGCACGCCAACTGCGGAGTTCTAGAGCTTGAACTTGAATTACCAAGCTATGAAGGCATAGCCCTACGTTGTATCGCACGTAGCTGCAGGCTGGCCAGCTCTCCAACCTCTCCGAAAACAGAATATAGGGATTCGACTCTAGTGAAACTGCGCGTTACGTTGGCAATCAAAGGCCGAGCTTCACCCGGGCCGGTCGCCAGGAAGCCACAATTCAATTTGTAAACAAGTTAAATGTAAGGAAATTATTTTGTTTTGGTCTAGTGGATAGTTGATGGTGAGACTGTAGCCTCTAGCAGAGTCGTAAGGGGCCAGAGTAGGAAATTCACTCCACCCCTTGCACACGATCGGGCAATCTTTAACAACACCGTCGAGTTCTCGGGATCTTTCTCCGCTACTGAATTGCCGAATTTGAGATTGAAAGATCGATAGAGAATTTATTGTCTCAAGTACGATGAACATACGATATATCGTATTTACAGCATGCACTGTCGATTAGCCAATGGCCAGGAACGTTCCTAGGAGATGTGAAGGTGGGCACTGCTAGTTAGTTATGTTTGTGGGGGTAGTTCATTAAAATGACGAGGCGTGGACAGCGTAAGCCAGGCCATCTTGGCTTATGAAGGTTTGAAGAATCCCGATTCAAGCCAGGATGGAAGATGAGGCATTCATGTACGAGCAGACCACCAGCCGACACCCTCACGTGACTGAAACGTCCATAACTCGGGCCCTGCCATCCAGGGTCTACGTGTTTCCCTCCAAGGTTGCGGGTCGGCATGTGTTCTGCGGCATGCTGTCTCTCATCCGGTACCTTCCAAGCCTCCCGCCGAGCTGTCTGCAATGATCAGCAGGCCACCAGACTACTACTATACGTGTGACACCACGGATGTTAACATGACTGTTTGTCTCGCTCCTCCATTCTGCACCTCAAGTCCGTTTCCTGTCGGGATTTGATTTCAACCTTTTTATTGGCCTAGTTATATCCCACATCTCGCATCACAATGCATCAGAGCGGATTTGCCTGCCCATTGGAAAGGGGTAATGTCCACATTGAACCTTCTCCGAGTGGATCTAGGCCAAGCGGAAAGGAGGATAGTTTAAGGAAGCAAAAAAAAGCAAAACATCTGTCCCGACCACATAATTTGTCAAACTTGAAATGTTGTCTTGTGCAATACGCAGTGCCTTCCATTCCCTGAATTGGACCCAATGCCCAAGTATGCGGATTCTATGGCGGCGGGGATTGACTGGGCCTGCCATGCCTCGGCCCTGTCCTGGTATGCAGGTGCAGGCTGGGCAAGTCTTCGGGCTCATAACCATGAATGGTTTCATTTAAGTCCGGCCATCGCCTCTTGTATTCATCGTCCTGAACCAGGCTACCGACCTGGGCCATTTGTTCTTCCTCTCGCTCAGGTCCTGTCAGACTGTTCCGATCCTAACGAGACAGTATACGGCCTGTTCGTTCGGATTGAATGGATTTGCTTCCTGTCGAGCCTTGATTTCTGTTGTGTAATTTCCCCTACACCACCCTCAAAAGGTCTCAACCATGGCCTCCCCTACCGTCTCCGTTCTTGTAACTATATTATGCATCTTTTCACTTCAAGTATGGGCAGTGCCCCATGGAGGATCGAGGAATAGCTCAGCCTCCCGTGATATGTCGCCGTTACAGCATTTTCCTCCAATTAATTACCAACCCAAGCCCTCGTGAGTCTTGTATTTTCCACTTTGTCTCATATCACGTGTCTACAAGTGCTGACTGAAATAGCGGAATTCCTTACACGATAAAGAACCAATCTGCGCAACCATGGCTTTATCGAACAACCGCCCCCATAACTCATTCAGCACTGGCTGAAGAAGATTCTCTATGCACGTCATCCAGTAACTCGTCTGGGTACTGGTATGAACAGATTGATCATAATGGACAGTCATCCTTCATGGATTCGAAGTACAAAGACAACTATAGTGTCTTCCGCAATGTTGTCAAGGATTTTGGCGCGGACAATACTGGACAGAAGGACGCAGCAGCAGCTATCTCAGCTGCAATCAAAGGTATGGATGAGTCGATCAATCACTTTAAGCCTTTTCTAAGACAGAACATCACATAGCTGGACCGTCAAATGGACCTGACCGCAGTTCCAATTCCATGGGTACTACTGGACAACCTGCTATCATCTACTTGCCAGCAGGAACGTATCTTATGAAGTCATCTCTGCAGCTGTACCTTGGGACTGTCATTGTAGGTGACCCCACGAACCCTCCAGTCCTCAAGGCATCATCAGATTTCGCGGACGATCATATCATCTACGCCAAGGATCCCAACTTTGGGGGTACGATCAATTTTTACCTCGGAATTAAGAACATTATCATCGACTCGACCGGGGTCGGGGCTGATAAATCCATCACTCTTCTTGATTGGACCGTTAGCCAGGCGACTCAGCTCACCAATGTCGGGTTCAATATGCCTACAAACACTGCCAAGCACGTCGGCCTAACTACACAATACGATTACAACAGTAACTTGATTCTGGTAATTGTGCTCTCTACTTTTATGATGACATAGCGCTGACAGCTTACAGAATGACCTTTGGTTCAAAGGCGGCGCAACCGGCATGAAGTTGAGTGGCCAACAATGGGTATTCAAGAACATCTCATTCAGTGGTACCACTACGGGCGTTCAGGCTGGAGGGACCGATATTGTTTTCTTGGGCTGTCGCTTCGAGCAGGGTACCCTGGGAATTGACGCGCAAGGCACATCCGGGTCTCTAACCGTCGTCGATACTACCGGTGTCGGCATGGGTACTCTTATTTCGTCATCTAGTTCGAACACTGCAGGAAATTCTATCGTCCTAGACAATGTTCAGAATTCAGGCGTCACGGTGAAGATAGGAGGACAAACCACGTTGAGCGGGAATGTTGCCAACACTTGGGTACATGGACATTTGGTAAGTTAATGCAGTGCGCCCCCTGACCAAGGAAGGCAGGTTGATCTGACTCAAACATTAGTATACTTCCAACAATGCCAAGTTCCAGTCCCAACAGGGCCAAACAGTTACTACTTCCCGCTCCTCATCGCTTTTGTCAGGGAAAAACTATTTTACCATGGCGCCGCCGACGTATAAAGAGTATAGCACTGGACAGGTCCTGAATATTAAGAATGTTCCTGGGATTCCGGTTTATGGGGACGGTGAGACTGATGATACTCGGAACATTAACCTCATTTTGTCCCGCTACAAGACATCTTGTTCGCTCATGTATTTCCCCGCCGGGACGTACATTGTTACGGATACCATTTTCGTGCCCGCTGGTACCCGAATTATCGGTGATGCATATGCCTCGACGATCAGTGCCGTCGGAAGCAACTTTGAAGATGAGTCTGCTCCTCGCGCCATGATCCGGGTAGGGTATCCGGGAGATGTGGGTGTTGCGCAAATTAGTGACATGGTGTTCACTGTGGCAGATGTTCTGCCGGGCTGCAAGTTGGTAAGACATAATCTCTTTTGGGTCTCTGTATGACGGTCGCTAATATGTCCTTCTGCTGTAGGTTGAGGTCAACATCGCTGCCAGGTCGCCTGGGGACGTTGGCTTCTGGAACTCGCATTTCCGCATTGGTGGAGCGGCGGGTAGCCAAGTGGAGAGTTTATGTACAGACGACCCCAATGACTGCAAGGCAGCCTGGGGGCTCCTCCACCTAACCAGCACATCATCTGCCTACATTGAAAACATGTGGGGATGGACAGCCGATCACGATCTCGATGGGGACAACCCGCAAACCATCTCCACCGGCCGTGGGCTACTAGTGGAAGGTACAGCCGCGACCTGGCTCATTGGCACAGGATCCGAGCACAATACACTCTACCAGTACAACTTTCAGTATGCCCGGAACGTCTTCACTGCAATGCAGCAGAGTGAAACACCATATTGGCAGGGAGCAGGGAGCCGCGCTCTCAACCCAGCCCCATGGCAGTATCTCGACAGCAGTGATCCAGACTTCAGCAACTGCGCTGCCAATGATAGCAAATGCCGCATGGCATTGTTTGAACGTATTTATGGCTCGTCCGACCTTTTCCTCTACGGTGGCTGCAACTGGGTCTTTTTCAACAACAACGGTGATTGCAGCGGTGACTGCCAGACCAATGCGATTGACATATCCAATTCAACCTCCATATACTTGTATGGAACAAATACGAAGAGCACGACCAATATGGTTCTCGAGGGAACCAAGGTCATCGCGACTCAGAGTGACAATGCCGGCGGTTGGGGAGGAGTCATTGCCGGATATTTGTATGATTCGTAACGGCAATGACTGGGGTACATATGAGTATTATTCCTATCCATAGTACTAATATTTAGTTATAGACTGGAGCACATGATATTTACTAATACAATGGCCGCAATTCGGTCGTATTTCCTGGTGTTTAAATGGTTTAAGATTTTATCATTTAAAGTAGATGTATAGGCGGTGCCGATCTAAATATATTTCTCCAAAATGTTAGTCTGTGGAGTCCGGAGTCTACATGCATTTGTGATGTTGGCTGTACTAACAATAATCCTAATCACGCATTTGTTACTTACACAAATAAACAACTTGGACCCCCTGGAAAACAACCTTCTCACTATCACAATATGAGGTGATGTGAACCGTGGGTGGGAAACCAAGGGTCTGAGTGGATCGGGCCGCAACCTACGATCGGGCGGTGGCTCTCAATCCAAGGCGATCCATCCATCAAGGGCCAACTCAACCCCCGTCACACATCCTTAGTCTCCCTGACAGTTTGAACATCATGTCTCGTCGACAATATCGTCCAATCAGTGATGACCATGTCGATGATCCCAAGGGCTAAATAGGCACTAATGCCCTGTGCTGTCCGATCGGCCCTTTGCTCCTTGGGCTTGTGGTGGCTGGGCCCGAGGAGGCTGGGAGACATAGTCGGCCGTATAACCAACCACCCCAAGCCGTGATACCAGCCCAATTCAGCATCGTCCCTTGCCTTTTTGTTTGCTGCACTTGCCTCTTAATACCTCGTGGGCAGGTACAGGGTCTGCATCTGGAGGAATATTCATCGGACACATCCACAATCCGCACTGCAAGTGAGCTGTTCACCGCATACATTCCTCGGTTGCATTTCGGCCGCCGCCATGCTCGCTCCGGGCTCTGGGAATGTGAGTCTCAGAACTGTCAGTTGTAAGTTTACTCTGCATAACCTTGGCACCCAGCCAAGGAGTAAAGCATGATGCGTCTTCGAAATCAGCCTGACCGATGACTGATCTCCTCACAGCTAGTAGACCACAATTAATGCACACCCAGTCACAACAGTCGATCGCCGCCTCCGACGACTACTACTCCTTCTCAAGTCCTTCCTCAAGTGCAAGATCCCGAGCCAGCGGCAGTCGACTCACCGTGGCGCGGTATGCGACACCAAACTCTCATCCTCCGTCTCGAACACCGTCTCCTAGCATCTCTCGAACGAATCTGGCCCCGCAGCCCGCTGGTGCACGATCGGAGCATTCTTTGAACGTCCCGAGCGAGAACAGGAATTTTGTTACACCCCCTTCTCAGACAATACGTGCAGTTGAGGAGGAAGATCCCGAGCCCAGCCCCATGTCAGATACCACGAGTCGCCGGGAACCCAGTGACAGCTATGCGGGGCGGCCGCCTACTCCTGGGGTGGATGACTCGCCATACATTCACTTCGCCATCAGTCAACTTACGCGTGACGAGGAAGTTGCTGGGCCCAGACGGCGAAGTTCGCTCGCTAGCAATGACAGTCCTCTCGAGCCACTACTCTGGGATGAGGGATTGGGCTGCTTCATTCGCTCGCCTGGTCAATCGGCAACACCACCAGCACGGCCACCGCAACAATCATCCGACTCTATTGGGAGGGCACCTCAAAGCTCGGTAGATCCAGAATCGTTTGTCGCCGTTGAACCCCCGCATGACAGTCTATTGTATCCGCCATTGGACTATGTGCCTACAGTCTTGCGGTCATGGGCACTGGCTGCCATAATCATCTGTTGCCTGCTAATGATTGCTGGAATAAGCTTCTGCAATGTATGGTCGCGGCGGCATGATGGGCTCTGGGACTATACTGGACTAGGCGGCTCGCATTACTTTGTGATGCAATTCCTACCCCAAATTCTGGGGATGGTCATCACTATCTGGACGTTTGTGATCCAAGCGGCAGTGTACAGAATCATGCCGTTTGCCATCATGGCTTCAGAGCGGCCGCTTGGTCATGTCCTCCAGAGCCTGCCTATCTTATCACGGAACTTTCTGGTCCCAGACTTCTCCTACTTCCGGCATGGCGAGGGAATAGTTGGTTTCACTTTGTTCACCATGTGGCTGTCGAACTTGATCACCCTACCACTGTTGAGTTGCCTCTTCCAGGCTAAATGGTACTTGATCGATGGACAGGGGACGTGGCGGTGGGCCTCAGTTTCGGCGGTTGGCTGGACCCTCGTGGCCATCTATGCGTTGTTGACCATTGGCCTGCTCCTGCTCATGTTTCGTTTTGTACGCACATGGTCGGGATTGATGTGGGACCCTGTGAGCTTGGCCGATCTGATTTCAATCATTCAGCGATCGAACATCTTGCACGACTTTGAACAATCCGAGACATTGCCAGATGTAGGCGAATCGCTCGACCCGCGATTCTTGCGATTGGGCTACTGGAAACTATCAAACCGTGCGGATATATTCTACGGAATCGGTGAGGTAGATGCACCAGTTCGGACACCATCATTGCACCGCAAGGAGAAGAATCTTCAGATGCAGTCACACGGCCTGTCAAGGGTCTCATTTGACGTTGAGCAGCATGGCCTCGCAGAGAAGGAAGAGTACTATCAACACCTGTATTCGCCAGCTATCCGTTATCGCTGGATCCCATGGTTCCTTCGCGATGGCTTTGTCGTTCTGTGGACGATAATAATTTGCGCCTTGTTTATTGCATTCGTGTTGGTCAGCTTCATCCACAATGCGATTAAAGACGGATTTCCTCCGCGTTTGCCAACTCTGCCGTCTACTGGTGCATTTTCCTCTTCCAACTTCTGCTACAGTTTCGTTCCTGCCTTGATTGGAAATGTCCTTTTCCTGGCATGGCAGCCTATCGATGTCTATTTCCGTGCGCTGCAGCCGTTTGCAGCTCTAGCTTCTCCGACCGGTGCTCGAGCCGAGCAGAGTCTCTTATTGTCTTACACGTCCTGCTTTCCCTTGCAGGTGACACTCGCCGCAATTTTAAACAAGCACTACAAGGTGGCCTGGATCTCATTCGTGAGTACGATGTCCGCGGCGATCCCTATCTTGGCTGGAGGGATGTTTATCGCCCTGTACCACCCGTCTGATGGGACGATCCTGATCTCTGCTCTGATGCCTGCGTTCTATGCCATCGTGGCTTTCTGTGCACTCTACATGGTGTCTTTCCTGTGCATATGGCCCCGCCGCTGCCGCCGCTTGCCACATGACATTAGCACTTTGGCTGATCAGATGAGCTTTTTATACCAAAGCCCATTGCTAGCAGACAAGATCCTGCGCGAGCCTAGGAGCAAGGCGGATCTGGTCACCCGACTGGTCGTTGCCCCTCCTGGCGACCGAGAGCATTCCATGTACGGCTTTGGAATCTATGTGGGTCGGGATGGCAAGGAACATCTCGGAATCGATCGTTTCGACCGTCCTGGCCGGGCCGATATGTTAATCACTACCGGCTATGCACGATAGGATGCTACTGAGGTGTCCTGAGAAAAGTATTCTTGTACGATGACTGGGTGGTTGTTTGCTGCCTGATTGCATATATGCGGCTTTAGCCGCAGATCTTCATGTTTGCGATGAATTATGCGTTATGAACATACCCTTCGACTTTTTCAAGATGACGCCTATTAATGATAATACGGTATAGCGATGTACTTATGATTAGATGATGATGTTTCATGATTTATGTTGTCTTTCTTTGCTTTCTGGGAATTGTGAACTTTACGATGGAATTTTGTACTTGATATCCTCAACAGCGTTGGTGGGCGATGGGCCCTTTACATGATCAATTGATATTCAGCTTAACATGACTTTCACTTCTACATGCTTATGTCTAATTGTGTAGCATTCAATGCACGACTATGCGAACACCTAAAATCTTATCGAACGATAAGGTACGCTGACTCATGCGCCACGTGAGCGACGATAAGGCGATCGGCTGACACCTGACAGGCCCGATTTCCTGACGGCTTTGGTCCCGCAACGCTGGATCTGTGCGACAACTAGTGAACATGCAAGCCCTGGCAGCCAGACAATCCAGTGGATCGGCCATCAAACTATGTGCTTGCTAGGAACCGTTCCAGAAGTGCTAGTACTTGTGCTTGTGTGGAACCACTATCCGAATCCGACTGCATACACCAACGATTAGTCCGAGACCAATCTTACCGCCTGATCGGAAAAGCAATTTACATCATGGTATACGGCGGGAAGCCAAGCACGGGGTGCCAGAACTGTCGAAAACGACGGATCAAGGTATGCGCACGGAACCATCTAGTAGTATATTGCTAATCATGTAGTGCGATGAAACTCGTCCACACTGCAGAGCATGTGTTCGGACAGGCCGGACATGTCCTGGCTATCCGCACCCTTTCGATGTCATGTTAAGAGACCAAGTAGCTTTCCACCGCAAGAAGCGAGACACATCTAGTAGAGTGTCTTCTCCAAAGATGAGAGTGGAATCGGTTCGATCCTCGCCTGCTCCGGTATCATCCAGCGATGCTTTGATCAGCACCAACTTTAGCGCAGATCTTCCGCAGACCGGACCACTACTGCGCACTGCGCAGGAGGAGGTCCCAAGGGCGTTGGTTTTGCCGACTGATGATACTGTGACTGCAATGTTCTTCAATTCGTACATCTACTCGCCTCGAGATCCATTAATCCTACGCGGGTTCATGGACATCTTGCCTGATGTTTTCTGCTATACTCAGCCTGGCTCTCATTTACATGTCGGCACTTTGGCCGTGTCGTACTTCTCCGTGGCTGCATGGACGGGGAATCGGTCTTTTCTGCAGACAGCACAGCAGTTGTTTGTCAAGGCTATTGCAAAGACGAGGGAAGCGTTGCAGGGTGACATCACTCACACTGTGGATGATATTCTTATGACCATTCTTCTCTTGTCTACTTATGAGGTATGTCAACACTGAGCTCTGTACGATGATAGCTAATATGACGGCAGGAGTTCTGCGCTATCAAAGAAAACAGACATCCAAGGAGGACACATCTACGAGGTGCTGTCGCTCTCGTGAACAGCAAGCGGCCGGAGCAGCGATCTTCGATTATATCGCTGATCTTAGAGAATGCGGTCCAGGTCCAGCTGGTATGTATCGTAGCCTTTCAGCCAGCCGTATACTAACTAAAACAGATCAAATCATCCAAAGGGCTGGCCTATCCGACCATGCAGACGCCGAACCAATGGCCCCTATCTCCAGCAGCACCACAATCAGCATCATCCCAGCTTCTAATGATCACCTCTGAGCTAGTCGGTCTCCGCCAAGCATGGGATAGATTCAACGAAGAAGGCACAAACCAAGTCCAGGACATCCACGACATCCTCGCACGGGCTTACAGCTTAGATGCGAATCTCGAAGCCTGGAAATACGCACTCCCTGAACACTGGAAACCACTCCCTGCGGTCCGAGTCCCCCAGTCCGTCCGGGAAGCCGGCATGTACAAGAACCGCTGCGACTGCTACACCGACCTCTGGATGGCCGGAACATGGAACTTTTACCGGGATTCCCGGATTGTCGTGCAAAACATCATACTCCGCTGTCTGCAGATTCTACCCGATGGTGTGATGCTGGAGCAAATACAGGAGACTATCAACCTGATTGAGACTCTCGCTCTTGACATCTGCGCCACTGTACCATACATTCTCGGCAGCCAGACGATGTCGGTGCATTTTAGCCCGCAGAAGATCGAGTACCCAGAAGCCGACGGACGGCGAGTCACAACGCCTCATTATCCGACTGCTGCGCTCGTGGGTGGATGGATGGTCTCATCTCACTTGTCGAATCTGGAATTGCTGTGTCTGAGCGAGGAGATGAATACATGGATTCGGGCGCAGAAGGAGCGCGTGCTGCAGATATATACATTTGGGGGAGAGGTGAGTCAAATAAGTATGTAATATACATAGCCATCATATAAGTGATTTCGATTCTCAAAAATTCGAATAATATCCATTTTGCCCAGGTATAATCCTAAGATGGTTCTAGACTCGGATAAGATCACATGACCCTGACTTTCCCGATTGGTCATCATCTCCGCAGAATCTCCAATCGCAGACAGTCAGACTCATCATTACTCTACAGGACATAAACCAAACGTCCTCTCAAACCCCATTACTTTATACCATTGTACCTCCAATCTCCTCTACAAACCGCAATTGTCACCACACCCACGGCCACAACGCCCACCTCACCATACAACCACCACCATCACCACCAAAATGCTCTTCTCCTCTCTCTTCTCCTCATCCTCCTCCTCCTCCTCCACCACAACCCCCCAAGAAACTCCCTCCTTGACACCCACCACTTCCGAACCCCCCTCCACGACAATGACAAGATCCCCCTCGGACGAATTCAACCCGCCGCTCCCGGCCCTCTGGACGCCCAAAACGAACCTCAAGCTCCTCCTCGGCGGCCTCGCCTTCTTCACATTCAGCATCTACAGCACGCGGCGGGCCATGAACCGGAAATTCCTCGCCAGCATCCCACCATACTACACGAGCAGCGTGTACCACAAGCCGAACGTCAGCGGCGGGGCGGAGGCATTCGAGGCGCTGCATCTGGCGACGATGAACGTGCTGTCGTTCGGGATGATGGGTGCGGGAGGGCTTTTGTACGCGCTGGATATTAATGGGGTGGAGGATATGAGGCGGTTCGTGAGGAAGGGCATGGTGGAGGGGGATGGGGCGTTGATGCGCGGGGAGGATAAGGAGTTGGAGAGGGAGGTGGAGGGGTGGGTTGAGAAGGTGCTTGGGGAGAAGTTTGGGAAGGAGTTGCAGAGGGAGAAGGAGAGGAGTGCTGCCGCTGCGGCTGCTGCTGCTGGTGCCGCTGGGGCGGAGAAGAAGGAGTGAGGGGGTGGATATGATGAAGATAGATACCCTGGTTTTACTGATGATCTCTACTCTTTTCTTGATTGTTTGTTATGGGATGGGTGGATGCTTGTATTATATTGCATTGCGTGCATAAAATCGGTGTTAGGAATTAACTACTGTACATGCTATCGGTCTAGCTGCTCGTATCGTTCTCGTGCTGTTTGCTTCGTCTTCTCCAGGAATTCGTCGTACCGGTTGCGCGTGTTGCGCCCGGCTTCTTCGGTTGCGTCTCCTAGTTTGCTGCCTTGCGCGCCTAGGCCCACGCCCTGGGCGTAAACCTCCGTGGCTATCGGCGCGGTCATGCCGGTACCTTGAGCGCCCAAGCCGGCACCGGTCCATCCCATCTTGCTGAGCAGAGATGCTCCCTTTGATGTGGTCTGTACTGGAGGCTCCTCTTCCTTTGGCGGGGGCGGAGCGGGTCGGTTCTTCCCTGAGGGCTTGGAGCCGAACGCCTTGCGCCGCTCTCGTGCGCGGTCACGATACTCCGTCGGGGCTGGGATGATGCCGTGCTTGATGAGCTTGCCTGTCGCCTTGGCTACCAGTTCTTCGTCCTGAAGATTTCCACGATGGAGTTGACTGAGCCGCTCGTGGCGATTGACTTCTGCTGATGATTTGAACTGGCGCATGCACAAGTAGCAGCAATTGCGGTTGGGATCGGCATAAGATTGGGATGGTGGAGCGGTTGCTTCGGATGGAGAGACTCCGCGGTCTGAGCCATGCTCTGTGCTCTTTTCGTCCGCGTCCTTCTTCTGGATTCCATGCAACTCGGCATGACGGTTGCTCCAGAATTGCAGATGCGATGGGACTGCCATCTTCTTCGCTCCAGCAGCGGCAGCCGCTTCCGCCTTACGCTTCTTTGCTTTATCTGCATCCTTGGACTTTTCGGATTGACCGGCTGGTTTATCGCCCTTGGGATTATCGAGTTCTGCCGTTGATACCGTAAGCTCGTTGGCATATGCCTCTTCATCCCAGTACATAAGTTTCAGCGATGAGTTGTTCAGAGGACTGAATGTGAATTTTTCGTTGCTTGTGGGATTGAGCACCGGAACAAATACACCGGCGTGAATGTAGCTGACCAGAACCGGTCTGGATGATATGGTGAACTTTTCGAACGAGTTCAAACGTGTAATAGCAGCTTGTGCATCCTATCTGGCATTAGAAAGCTTTGGTAGCGTAACAGCGACATGCTTACCTGAATAGTTGCAAATTCGGCGAATCCGTAGCGCCAGCTCTCGTTACTGCGACGGTCTCTCACCAGCAAGACACGACGGATGGAGCCCTCTCTGGCGCCAAGGTTGGAATCACCTGTAGTAGAAGCCACCTTTGCACCCTTCTTTCCATTACCCGGTGCCTCGTTCCCAGATGCAGGACGATACAGCTTGGCAACACCCTTGGCAAGAAGCTCTTCCGTTACCGAAGGTTCCAGTCCGCGGAAGAGCAGGAATTGAGAGGGTTGGTTCTCCGGCGCAGCATCATTGTCGCCATGGTTTTCCACCTTCGGTGCTGGCAACCCAGGAGGACCAGCTGGGCCGGCGTCTATTCATATTAGAATCGCAATACAAGATAGAAGTCGCAGTGAACGTACCAGGCCGGGGCGCTTGACATCTGAAGCATTTCTGGCGAGTAGAGTAATTCACAATTCCACACTGCATCCGTTAGCTCCATGCTTAGAGACCCCCGTGAAACATACCATCATGCAGTTCCAGTCCGCCTCTGCTCTCGCACGAGCACGGTCCTCCCTTTCACGGCTATATGCGATGCGGACCTTTGTGCCGCGGTCGTCCTGTGCGCTGGGACCATGTAGGTAGATCGTAGGAAAGTTGCGCTCAACGAATGCTCGGGATAAGCTTAGATTCCGAAACCTCAAGAATCCAAGTTGTCGGGACAGCTCTGCCACATGTTAGCTGCATCAGAAATAAGCTACATATCACTCACTCGTCTGTCGATCACGAATGACCCGAACGTCATCTAGGCCCTCAACATGATAAAACTCTTTCAACTCGTTGGTAATCTGTAAACCACGTCGACCGGAACCCGGTGACATGCATTCTCAGCCTCTTGCCATTAAAGGTGTTGGGCGGAGCACCGCTCCGAGTCCACAACAAAAATCAAGGGAAAGGAGTTGTCGAACGTCTTCTTCCACCATGTCCACCGGTAGGCCATCCATCATCACCTCTCTGCTTTCATGTCCGTAATGCGGTTGTCGGTTGCGGCGAGGACTGCGGCTGCGGCTGCGACTGTAGCTTCGGCTCCGACTGTGGTATCCCGGAGAGCGATAGCCCTCACGGTCGCGATCCCTATAAGCTGGTCTTCCTCGTCTTGGAGGAGGGGAGCGCGACGAGCGCCGTCGAAAGTCATCGCGATCCCGACTGCGGTAACGGGGTCTGGAGTCGACTCGGTCTCTGGAGTAATCGGGTCTTCTGTCCGCCGCGGGCCCACGGGGAGGCGAGCGTGAGAGATCTTCTCATGTGATTTAGTTAGTAACAGCTAGATCTGAAGAAGCAAATTGACGCTTGTCCAAGGAAAGCATGCGCTCTGTGCTACTGGTTGCGGGGAGGAGAGCGTATACCGCCAGGCGAGCGCGATCGGGATGGCGAACGATCGTCGTACATGCGGCCGTCCCGGTCGTCACGGCGAGGCATAGGTCTATGGGATGGACCAGGCGGATACCTGGCCTCATCCGGATGAAAATGAGACATGGCTGAGGTGATCGGATACAAGGAGATTGATAGTGGTGGAAGGTGAGCGGATCATTGCTTGAAGCCAGAAAGCCCCGGACTCGGCAGAATCTGACCGCCCTGCTGCATTCACGAGCCGCTTATTCAATCTCCATCACCCAATTTGTCACATCCAAATGTATTCACTCTGAATGCATAATTCTCAGTCTTTTCCTGATACTAGACTGAACTCTTGGTGCTATTGCTATAAAAATTGCCCTAGTACTCATTGTCTTATGGTACAACACCACATCAGTCTTCCCAAGTCGCTTCTGCGCAATATCATGCTAATGGCATGGCTTGTCATCTGACCCATAGTATGCTGCTTGGTAACTGTAGAGATAGCATCCATATGACTTCACTTCAGTTCTACGTGTAGTGATCCTAACTGTTCTTTTCCAATGCCAAGTGCAGTTCAGCTCTGACTGTCGGTAGCGAACCTAATCAGGTGGCTTTCCTGGCTAAAGTCTGTTGCTGTTCCTTCGCCAATAACGGTTAAGCCGCGGCCAATAACTTCCTGCTAGCGGCTTTCATTACTTCATATGGCATCCAACTAGGGGTAAACGAACCATAATGGACCGTTGGAACGACGCAGTTGCCTAACTGAGGGTCTCCACTCCAGCCCTGTTGTTAAGAGAGTCTTGGCAGTCAGCAATTCCGCCCTGTTGCTCCGAGAACCCTGTAGTTTATGCAGGATATGCGCTGACTGAAATACTCAGTGGCTGTGCTGGTTCATTGACGTCCTGTCATATCTCACCAGAGGCCATTGTAGAGGTTTCGTACGGAGGTCTACCCAAACATTGTTCCTCGTTCGGAAACCCGGAAGGGTCTGAGTTGCGGGCTGCCCCGTAGGGCTGAGCCTATGCGATGCCAATGAAACCACACAGGAAGATACTATTTTGGATCGCCTCAAATATTATTCTGCTGCCTGACACCACCCCCCAATCAGAATTCCCCGTTTCATGGACCCTGACGGGGTTTCTGCACTAGCTTAGTTGAACGGGGCACAATGCAATCACAACAAAGTCTTCTGTAATGTCTCTGGCAGCACAAGTCAGGGCCGACGATGTCTCCATGCTGCGCCTTGCCTGGCTTGGCCCTGCCACCTCAGATTTTGCTGTGCTCATTTATGTGCTCGGAGATTTTGGTAATAAATAAGCGCTAATAGTGTGGTCCGCTCAACAAGTTCTTATAAATTCCTTCGGAGCACCCTCATTTATCATGCACTGGGGTCTGTGTTATACTAGACGTGTCACTTGGTGCAACCCAGAGCAGACATGAAGTTTAATGCACTCTTTACGGCTCTAGCCGCCCTGGAGTATATCCAAGGTATTTCACCTATCTCGACCACCATCATGCAGCACTAACCCATGCTGACTCGCTCATAGGAGGCGTTGCTGTTCCCACAACCGCCGATCTCACATTTGCAGACGTTTCGCCTCGCGCATTGGACAATGCCCCTGACGGTTATACCCCGAGCAATGTTTCCTGTCCTGCAAACAGACCGACGATCCGCAGCGCGTCAACCCTGTCATCAAACGAGACAGCATGGCTCGATGTCCGACGCAAGCAGACTGTCTCAGCGATGAAAGACCTCTTCGGTCATATCAACATGAGCTCATTTGACGCCGTCTCATACATCAACAGCCACTCCTCCAACATCACCAACATCCCCAACATCGGTATTGCCGTATCTGGCGGTGGCTACAGAGCACTAACCAACGGCGCCGGTGCACTCAAAGCATTCGACAGTCGAACAGAGAACTCAACACACAATGGACAGCTCGGTGGTCTTCTGCAGTCAGCCACATACCTGTCCGGACTATCCGGAGGTGGTTGGCTCCTCGGTTCAATTTACATCAACAACTTCACCACCGTCTCCAACCTACAAACCTACAAAGAGGGCGAAGTCTGGCAGTTCCAGAACTCCATCACGAAAGGCCCCAAAACCAACGGCTTGCAAGCCTGGGATACAGCCAAGTACTACCGCGACCTAGCCAAGGTCGTGGCCGGTAAAAAAGACGCTGGCTTCAACACCTCCTTCACCGACTACTGGGGTCGCGCACTCTCCTACCAACTCATCAACGCGACCGACGGAGGCCCCGGCTACACCTGGTCATCGATCGCATTGACCCAGGACTTCCAGAACGGAAACATGCCCATGCCACTCCTCGTTGCCGACGGCCGTAACCCAGGCGAGACCCTAATCGGCAGCAACTCGACCGTATACGAATTCAACCCCTGGGAATTCGGCAGCTTCGATCCATCCATCTTCGGCTTCGCTCCCCTCGAATACCTGGGCTCCTACTTCGAGAACGGCGAAGTCCCATCCGGTCGATCCTGCGTCCGCGGCTTCGACAACGCAGGCTTCGTCATGGGCACCTCCTCCAGTCTCTTCAACCAATTCATTCTCAAGCTCAACACCACCGACATCCCCTCAGCCCTCAAAACGGTCCTCGCTAGCATCCTCGAAGAACTAGGCGACCGCAACGACGACATCGCCATCTACTCCCCCAACCCCTTCTACGAGTACCGCAACGCGACAATCTCATACGAAAAGACCCCGGACCTGAACGTCGTCGACGGCGGCGAAGATAAACAAAACCTCCCCCTCCACCCTCTCATCCAACCCGCCCGTAACGTGGACGTCATCTTCGCCGTCGACTCTTCAGCCAGTACCTCAGACAACTGGCCCAACGGTAGTCCGCTCGTCGCTACCTACGAACGCAGTCTCAACTCAACCGGCATCGGCAACGGCACTGCCTTCCCCAGCATCCCAGACAAAAGCACCTTCATCAACCAGGGCTTGAACACCCGTCCGACCTTCTTCGGCTGTAATAGCAGTAACATCACAGGCCAGGCGCCCCTCGTCGTCTACCTCCCCAACTACCCATACACGACGTTGTCGAACAAATCGACCTTCCAGCTGAAGTACGAGATCTCGGAGCGTGACGACATGATCACTAATGGCTGGAACGTGGTTACGATGGGTAATGGATCGAGGAAGTCTTACGAGGATTGGCCGACCTGCGCGGGCTGCGCGATTTTGAGTCGCTCGTTTGATCGGACGCATACCCAGGTACCGGATGTGTGTGAGCGGTGCTTTGAGAAGTATTGCTGGGATGGGACGAGGAATAGTACGGAGCCGGCGGCATATGAGCCCAAGGTGTTGATGACGAGTGCGGGCGTGAGGAACTTGGCGGTGTCGAGGTGGGTTTGGGGGTTGGTTCCGGTTGTGCTGGGGGTTTGGTTGATGTGAGTGTGAGTACGGGGGTGTATGCTAGAGATCTTATGGATATGAGGTTACGATAGATCTGAAATTCTCCGGAGATACATCCAGAAGGAATGTAGATAGGAAAGGATTGCATGCAATGCTCATTCATTAAGTCGTAAAAGACTCCAAGTCCAATACCAAGTACTGAGTTACAGCATCATCATCCGATCACTTCGTCCCAAACCATACCAAAATCCCAATCAGTGGAGTGCACTCCTTCTTGCTCTTCCGTCCCCAGTTGAAGTCATTGACCACACCAAAATCCGCCAAGATTCTCTCATGGCAAAGATCTAATTACCTTTCCATCGACACAACCCCCAACACAGCCCATGCCAGCAGCATCCAATCTTGCACGGGGCTGTACGGCTGCAGACAACCTGCGGGAGATTCCAGTCCACAAGGTCAAGAGAAGTTTCTTCGGATTCTTCATCACCATCGTTGACAACCTCATCCTGCTCACCCCGAGGACACTTAGCCATGCAGACATTCTGCCAGCAGCATCCCTTGCATGTTCTCTTGCTGCACATGCCGTCGGTGTGGATAATGTCTGTTGAGGTGGGGAGGAGGTCGATATCAGGCATGGAGTATCCTATATATATATATCAGTCGGTTGTTCAAAGGAAGAGGTTGTTGGGTTGGACTCACTCTTATGCATCTCCGGTGCTGGTGCAACATCATCGCTATCATCATAGACTTCGAGACTGTCATCGTCATAGACATCGAATCCAACGTCAAAATCGACATCACCATCCAAATCGTACCCATACTCCCCATCATCATCAACATCATCATCCCTCTTATCCATATAACAATACGTACAAAGCCCCTTCCGGCAACATCCACCCTTACAAGTCCTGCGATTGCACCTGGGCGGTTTGCCAGGAGATTCTATCACACCCAACTTTCGTCAGCTAACCCATCCTACCCACAAAGAATCAAAGAGAGAAAGAGAGAGAAGAAAATACTAACGCCAAGTAGCATCCCCATCGCCCCGCTTGGCCAAATCATTCGGACAATACGCGAGACAGAGACCGTGGTAGCAGCACCCGTTCCCGCAGTCTCTGTTCGTGTGGCATACCGGGGCGGTGATGTCCATGTCTTCTTCTGTGTGGAGGTTGGATTCTGGGATGTGTTTTAGTGAGTGGGTATGGTAGTGTGGGTGGGTGAGTTGAGAGAGGAGGGTAGGCTACCATCGATGAAACTGCGGACTAGTTCCGTGTGAACGTCATCCTCGTTGTGAAGACAGTAGGCGAGACAGAGACCGTTGTAGCAGCATCCGGTTCCGCAGTCGGTGTCCTTGTAGCACTGGGGGTTGTCTGGTCGGTCAGTATGTTGGTGCGAAGGTGGGAATGTGTTGGGGTGGGCTTACAGATGTCTGTGAAGCTTGGGCTGTCGGCTGGGATGGAGGCTGCTAGGGTAGCCAGGAGGGCGAGGATGAGGGTTAGGTTCATTTTGGATGTGGATTGTAGGATACGATTTGGTGATGAGGTGTTTATGAGGTCAAAAGGGAGAGGAAGGAGAGTGATGGGGGAACAAATAGAGTAATGGTCATGCTGGGGGGATTCGGGGTATTTGAATAGTGTTGTTGGTGTGAATACATGATGGAGATTGGGTGTTTAAGACACGGGATGGCCTATAGTGAAGAGTAGCACAGCCATGTTGGTTAATGGTGTTGATGGGTGGATTGAATGGTAGGCGTGAATAGGGAGGAGGTGGTAGCGGTTTGGAAATCAAGGGTATATAACGCATGTAATGGATAGCATGGGATTGACTTCTTTCAGGTGGTGAGTTGTTGAGTTAAGATGCTCGCATACAGTCTGGTCGCATTGGAGGTAAGAACGTATTTAGTACTTCATCTATGTCCCACAGGAGGAAACATCGGGGAGGCGAGGAGCTCGTGTGATGGCTGTCAATGTAGTACATAGTGTCCTGGGGAACGGACTATTAATAGTAACAGGGTATGAATTTGAGCCTCTTTCACTTGCCGTATATGCCTCGATGTTTGATTATTGAGCTAGTTATGAGGCTTCATCGCAGGCATGAGCTGAGCAGAGCATCGTAAGACTTATAATCAAGAATACTAGTAACTAGAAATGTTCATTCAATGGCCAAGTCTAGAGGCTGCACTATATATCCACCAAGCCTTATGCGCATATAGCATCTCCAATCATAATTTTAAGCCTCTACCAACAGAACAACTGCTTCATACGGGCGTAGAGACCACTTCTGTCCCGAGAACCGCCCCTTCGCCGCTTCAGCGCTTTCATAGGAGTTCAAAACGACGTCCTTGACTCCCTTCACGCCATTGGCAGTAGCATCCCACTCCAATGTGTTTTCAGTCCAATTAGTGAGAACCAGGGCCTTCTGGTTTTCGTACTGACGAGAGTAGGCAAAGATCTCCTGGCTGTCCTTATCTACCAAGTCGTAATCGCCATAAACAAAGATGTCGAGGTATTTCTTGCGCAGTCCCAGGACGGTAGCCCAGTAATGGTAGATCGAGTTCGGGTCATTGACCTGTGCTTCAGCATTGAAGCGGACATAGTCCGGGTTGACAGACATCCAAGGCTTCGCGTTGGGGCCGGTGAATCCACCGTTCGGTGCGCTTGACCACTGCACCGGTGTGCGGCCGTTGTCTCGGGATTTCTTCTGATACTCTTGACGGGCGCTCATCTGGGCCTCGATGTCATCGGGCCTGTACTTGAGAAGTCTATCATTGAGAGCAATTAGTGCATAGTTTCGATATGTAATGAAGAGAAATCATACCGATGCCAGTGGTTCAGGCAGTCAATGTCCTTGTACTCGTTCATGTCCCATTCAATGGGAACGTTCCTCATTCCAATTTCCTGACCCTGGTACACAAATGGCGTACCAGACTGCAGCGCAAGAACCGTCGCAAGCATTTTACCTGCTTCCGTGCGGAACTCCTCCTTTGCCTGTGCATAGCGATCAATCGAGCGCGGCTGATCGTGGTTCTCCCAGTAAAGAGCGTTCCACCCATCATTATTGTACATGAACTTCTGCCACGTCTCAAAGAAAGCCTTCAGATCAGTAAGCTTCCAGCTCCCGGGCTCGAACTTGTCGTAAGTTCCGTGGTCAATGTCCACATGTTCAAAGTTGAAAATCATGTTGATCTCGTTCCGGTCGTAGCGCACAGCGCGAAGCACCTCCTCGGTGTCTCTAACGAAGGGCATCTCGCCGACACTGAAGGCGTCATACTCCTTCAGAATCTTACCCAGATCCGCAAGGTATTCATGCAGTCTCGGCCCATTGGCGTAGTATTTGTCTCCCCACTGCCAAGGGGTACGAGGGTCCTTCACAGGAGCGTCCGGGAAGCGTTGGTCTTTGCTGATGAAGTTGATGACATCCATGCGGAATCCGTCCGCGCCTTTGTCTAGCCAGAAGCGCATGATATCGTGAACCGCCTTGCGGACGGGCGGGTGCTCCCAATTGAGATCGGGCTGTTCTACCGCATAGAGGTGGAGGTAGTATTCCTGCGTGTGCTCGTCCCATTCCCAGGCACTACCTACAAAGTGCGTCAGAACACTCAATAAAAATATAGAATAACCCTAATCTAAGCATCGGACTCACCCTGAAAATGCGACACCCAGTTATTGGGCGGGTGCCGATTACCCTGCTCATCATACCTGGCCGGCTTCCACACATACCAATTGCGATACTCATTATCCTTGGAGCTGCGCGACTGCTTGAACCACTCATTCTGATCACTAGTGTGGTTGACCACAAGGTCCATAAGGAGCTTCATGCCCCGCTCGTGGCACCCCTGGATCAGTTTTTCGACATCCGCGACCGTGCCGTACTCATCCGCAATGCTATAGTAATCGGCAATATCATAGCCCATATCCACCTGGGGCGATTTGTATGAAGGACACAACCAAACAATGTCCACACCTATATTCTTGATATAGTCCAGCTTGGAGATGATTCCGGGAATGTCGCCGATGCCATCATCATTGGAATCTTTGTAAGATGCAGGCCAGATCTGATAAACGGAGCATTCTTTCCACCAGGCGCGGTGAATCTGGGAGGCGGATTTGGCCATTATGCTGGTTGTTTAGGTGGTTTTTGGTGTGTTCGGAACGTTGGTGAGAGAAGGAGCTGTCGTGTCCTTATCAGGAGCTCGAGAGGTCAGAGGGGAACAGGAAATTGGCTGATCTGCCCCTCGATTGATGGGCACCGCGGGGCAGTCGCTGCTTCATCTCATTCATCGACGCTCGTGCGGAGAAATTCTCGGTGGGTTCGCCATCCACCGGTCGCACATTGTCTGCCACTCACACCCCACGATGTGGTGGACCAGCTTTTGGGATGGTTGAGAGGACCGTTACGTGGAAGGTTCAAGACACCCACTTCCGTTGTACCTGGGATGGGAGGTGATGTTCTGAGACACTCTGGCTCATTAGAAGGTCTCCGCACCAGCTCCGGCTCCGCTCATCACCACCATCCGAGGTACTCTACACAGTGATTGATCGCAATATTCTCAAAGATTCCCCATCATACTGCTAAATTGTACATATATTTAACATTGGTTGAGAAAAGCGTCCGATGATTATAGCAACCGTGAAAGTCTGGCATATGAGTATTGTTGCCTCGAAAATCCCAACCACGGGTATCCCGGGGAAGGCTTGCTAGCAACAGCTCCAAGTTGCACAGGTTTGAGGGATCTGTGGATGGTATAGCTTGGGTTGCAGTTCGTGCTCCATATACTCACAGCGGCCAAAGCTACGATTAGCCAAGACGACCCTGCTCTTCGGAACCAATAACATAGTCCCATGTCAGCTATGCAGATGTAAGAATCCTGGCCATGCTGGGCGGGGTCGGTGGGCAAGCTTGGTGGGAAAGACACATATCTGGATTCATTGAAGTCTCGAAATGCAGTCTGTTTCGGCTGCGGTGCTGTCGAACAGTTGCTTTGAGGTATAGGAAGTAATAGCTTTAATCATAAACTCCCAAAACATACTCACGTGGCCAGTGGTCTAAAGCGTTACCCAGCGAATCAGGCGTAACATCATAAATGGAATGGTAACGTATTGGAATATTTTAGGAGAAATCTTGGGAGGTTTCTGTAAATTAATTGAAGACTAAGATAACCTCCTCGGCTTTATTCAGCTCGTCACACTGCATTGGCTTGCACCACAGCCATCGTAGCATCAACTAATAATGAAACGCATAACATCGATCGAATAAGAATGAGGAAATATATATACTGCATATCATCGTACATCTGTCGCCATCGTCATCCTACTATTCGTATCAAACAGTCCAGGGCTACAGTTGCCCATAAAACCCATCCTTGTGTCGTTGTACATATCTTCGTCAGTCATCTTGAAGAGAAAAGCAGTCGAATCAAGACCCTTTATTAAGCCAGTGTCGTCTTTTAGTAAAGTCTATCAGCCACAGCTAGTAACGTAGCTTAGTGCAACCGCAGAGCGCCATCGCGATCTTCGACATTGTCCAGAGCGTCGGTGATACGCGACCCGTCTCCCTCATAGAGGAAGGAGTCGTAAGTGGCAGCACCGACGATACAACCGACAATAGGAGCGAAAATAGGCACAACGAAATAATAGTTGGCCGCGGTAAAGACTTCTCTGCCATAGATGAAAGCAGAGAACAGTCTAGGACCGAAATCTCTAGCGGGGTTGATAGCCTGTAGAATTAGCTTAGGTTCACTGATAGAAACGATAATCGGAAGAACCTACATAGCCAGTCTGCCAGCCCAGCGCAGCTCCAATAGCAGTAAGCAGGAAGAACACTGTCACCTGAGGCGAATGGAATCTGATCGCATTGACCGGATCCGAGATGCTCAGAATACCAAACATCAAGACTGCAGACCCGAGCAACTCCGAGAATGCGGCCTCCCAATTCGACTCGAAGAATGCAGCAGGGTAAGTCGAAAAGATACCAGCGGAGTGGTGTCCACGGGGACTCAGGATTGAGCCGCCAGGAATGGTGAACTCAGGGTCCCAGTCTTTGATGGCAGAGCGGTAGTTGATATACACAATGGCGGCACCGACAAAGCCACCAAGGAACTGAGCAAAGAGTTTGCCGGGAAGTTTACGCCATTGTCCGGGAGTGGGACGGACGAGAGCCATGCAGATAGTCACAGCTGGGTTGATAGTTGGACCGGGGTCGGAAAGGTAGCCAGAGATGCAGACAGCTGCGGCCCAGGCAATGTTGATCGAGAGCCAAGTGCCATACTGGTAGTCGGAAAGGAGACACTGAGCGACGACGCCATCGCCGATGACGATCAGGAGAGCCGTTCCAAGAAACTCAGCGACATATGGTTTGAGAGCTTTTCGGGAGAGGCCAGTGTTGAGGAACATGGCTATGAGGATGTTCGCCTTCCGAACGTGTGAATTAGGGAGAATTGTAGGAGTACCGTGGTAGAGATGGACTGTTTTGGAGGTTTGTTGACGGAGAAAACAGAGGGGACCAGAGGATGCCCCGAGAGCGGCACGTCATAGCTCGCCCGCCCTCACCGCCAGTGCTGTGGATTCCCCAGATAGGCAGGCGCGTTGGAGATAATTGTTGGCCCTTCTGCCTCAGGTGTCAGTTATGGCCCCATTTATAGATTGGAGTGGACTGAATGCTGGCGATAAGGATGCTGATTCGTCTACTGCAGTTCCACAAAAGTACTAAAAGCGCCATTTAATTATTCCCTTCATGTCCAATTTGATCGTACACAGGCTAGTAGACTAAAACTGAGAAATTCACAGACAGAATATTGACGAACGCACAAGATAGACAAAGTCGCATCCCATAAATGCACCAGGGAAGATTCATACTATTTGGCCTTCCTGGCTTTCTCCGGGTCGGCCAACATTCCTCGATTCCACCTCGGATCATCCGATTCTTGCACCGGCGCCCACCCAAGCTGGATCTGCACCATCGGTCTTATCAGCTACTGCCCCACAGCGGCATACCACCGACAATGACCAGCAACATACCTGCATCACCTTCTGGTCCCAATCCTTCGTGAAGCTTTTGATCTTGCCATCTTGAACCTCAAAGATAGCAGCAGCGCTCCATCTCGCTTTCCGAGGTGGATCCGATCTCTCAATTCCTTTATACGGCTTCCCCGCATGCGATCCTTCAGCCGTATATCGCAGTAGCACATGTCCATCCTTTGCCCACGCCTGGTCATACCGGACTATATGCAGATCATTGACCGACGCCATGACATGGGCGTGCGATTCTGCGTAGTCCATCGGCGTGGAACAACCAGGAAAAGTAGAGGGACTCCAAAACCAGCTGTCCGGGGTGCACAGGTGGCGAACGGACTCGGCACCTTTATTCTGGGTTGGCGAGTAGGCAATTGACATGTATTCTTTTGCGATATTGAGATTGGCCTACATATGGTGATTTAATTGTTAGGAGTGACACATAGGGGACTGTTACTGGATAGTATACGTGCCTCTTCTTCTGGTGTTTGGGTTGCCGAGATGACGGTCGGTGGTTGGCCCCCTGTCGCAGACATGATTGTTGTTGAGTATCTGGCACAATGCTAAGCCCTCACTAGAGCTTGTTGTTCGTTGCAAATGTGATTTATGGGGTAGAGTGAATGGCTGACGGATGGAGCACAAACCTATCTATATAGTTACTGATTTATATTGTCGTCTCTTCAGTCATCATGACGTTGTGCTACCTCGTCTAACTCGGTTCTGGTCCGTGGCATATCCGATATCCTGACAGGTAAAACTCAATTTTATTTGGTATACTTATGTAAACAGACCTTCCATTAGTTAGACAGAATAGTACCACTGGGACAAGATGGTAGCTGAAAAGCTACACACATGCTGTCCTACCCCATCCGCATGACTGAAGAATCAAAGTGAGTCCTAACTTCTGGAAATATATTGGATCGTGGCCGGGGTATATCTGATTTTAAACGATGGCTTCAAAGTTAGTTTTACGCGGGAGTAGCGAGGTGGATGCGAATAATCATGCCGTTCAGGAGTGAATTCGCATCATTGTTAAGATAACCAATGTCAAGCAGGTACACGATGGCTGCCGGCTTATAGTAACTTTAAAGGTAATCTTCTTTATGCTTCCGGTTATGTACTACACTACCGCGACACATAGGCAAGTGCAGGGCCCTGTATACTACGAATCGAACCTGCGCGATTGGCTTCGTCAACAAGCGGGGTAAGCTTCATTAGGCGTCCCAACTCCGAATCATCTAGCTGTAATTGGTGTAACCTACCCCACTCCCATACCAAGCCATGCTATGGTCGATCAAAAAATAAATCATGCAGTGATAGCTGGATCTCCAATGGATGAGCCAGTTGGGGAAGCGAGGGGCAGCCTAGTATGCCGAGCTATCCGTCCACTATTTAAAGGTCAACGGTCACCATGGTTGGCTACACAGCATACTTGCAAAGTGTGGTACTCGGTCAAGCTGCAGAGGCTTCATGGAAGATGTTGTACCTGATACTTGCTTTCTCCGTTCCGGTATACCTTATAGCCCTCACATGCTACAATCTCTGTTTCCATCCTCTCCGCAGCTTCCCCGGACCACCACTTGCAAAAGTCTCCAAACTATGGAGCAGGATTGGAAATCGGACTGGCCGAAAGTCTGACCGAATTCACGAAGCTCATCTCAAGTATGGACCGGTAGTGCGAATTGGGCCAAACGAGTTGTCGTTCGCTAAACCTGCCGCTGCACGAGCTATTTACACGTCGTCTGCATTGGTCAAAGAGGAAACTTTCTATGTAAGACCCATGACACTATATATGCGATTCAAGAGGGGTTAATTGTTATATCCAGCGGGCGAAGACTGTGTTTCATGAGAACCATCTTTTCTCCACTCGGTAGGTCCGACAGCATGTGTGCAGGCCAAATACTAAGCGAACCTAAGGGATGTGCAGGCGCATCGGCAGCGACGGAAGCTTTTCGCGCGGGGATATTCGCAGGCAGCCATGCTAGAGTTCGAGCCCCATATCTCCAACAAAATAGATATGGTTCTCAAACAATGGAAGGCACGGTCAGCTGATGGTCCTATTGATGTTTACCCCTGGCTCCACTGGCTTGCCTTTGATGTGGTGTGTGAGTGCAGAATATCCCGGCTTTGGTTATCACACTTCACTGATGTAATGCGGCATAGACCACCTGATGTTCGATGATGATCCAGGCCAAGTTACTTCGGGAAGAAGCCATGAGGTAATGGCCTATCTTCAGGCTTGGAAGCCGACCTATATTTACGTAAGTGGTGGAACGTGCTCTCTCGTATCACAAGTTGACCTCCACAAAGAAAGAGTTTCTCCCGCAATTAGACCGATGGGGTGTATATGTTCCAGGGTATGTGGGAGACTACTTCAGGAAGGTCCAAGCCTGGAAGAACGTGAGTCCAATCTACTAGAATAGCTGCCAAGCTGTCAACAGGAGCTGAAGATTATAGTATTCGGTCAATTTAATTAAGAGGAGCCGTGAAAGGGGCACTAAGACTCCGTTTCTACGAGCGGCACTGAATGGTGACGAGGATGCCTTTCTCGGAAGACCCCTGACCAACTCGGAGTTGGCGGAGGAATGCATGGGCGGAATGTATGTTCATCGCCATAGCGCAGAATTGACTTCTTCTGACATTTATTCCAGGTTCGCAGGAAGCGGCACCACCGCTAATACGTTTGCGTTTCTTCTCTGGGCTTGTCTGCGTAAGCCAGATGTTGTGGCACGGCTCAAGGCTGAATTGAAAGAAGCGTTCCCAGATCCTTCCATTGTACCAGGCCATCGGGTAGGTATGACCTGTATTCAATAGCTATACGAATAACTAAATTGTTTCCAGACGTGCTCCGCCCTTCCGTATCTTCAAGCGGTTATTTCAGAGACATTCCGTCGCTATCCTGCTGCTATTGCCATCCTACCTCGCACCGCAGTTAAGGACACAATTATTGCAGGTGTGCCAATTTCCAAAGGGGTCAGTTACACCTATTATCAAATTTCACATCACAATGCTTACACAAAGCAGACAGTTGTAGGCGCACAAAATCGGACAGTTCATTTCGACGAGAAGGCTTTCCCTGACGCTCAAGAATTTCGACCTGAGCGCTGGCTAGAGATGGAGAATGAGGCGTTGCAGAAGGAGGCTTTGGCGCCATTTTCCATGGGCCCCAGAAAATGCATAGGTCTCAAGTAAGTGACGCTAAAATCTGCCAGATACTCTAATACTTACTTACGATGAAAGCTTGGCTCAAATGGAGCTCAATAAATTAGTTGCGGCTTTCTTCCTTCGATTCGATGGGGCGGTCGATAGTAGCATGACCGAGGAGGATATGCGTCTCTATGATACCTTCACTGCTTCACCCGCTGGAGGAAAGCTACTAATCCGTTTATGCGAGTCGATCTAGGAACATGAAGTCATCAGGGGCTGCGAAATACTGTTGCACACCTCGCGCGTCCTGTGAATATAGGCTGCCGGTACAGGCTTGCTTTTGGAATTGTGGAAACATATGTAGAGACCAATGCTTGGGGGCATATGCACGGCATGGCAAGTATTCAATCCTCAATGTTTTCATTCCAATTGGCAAAAGAGATACTAGATTCTACTGCAAACTCGGTTCACTCAATGGAAAATAGCTACAGTAATAACAATGTTCAAGTCCTCACAATTGATATATTCCATAGTCTACTCATCCTCCCATTCTATCCCTTCGTCTATATACACCCCATAACCACCCCAATCCACAAACTATGTCTTATAAACCGGATCCTCCGGCAACTCCACCCCCCAAAACCTACGCATCCTCTCCCTAAACAACTCATAACACGACCCCATCCGAAGCACCCTCATCTCCCCAAAATCCATCACGATCGACGCCCTCCCATAAACATGATACCTCTGCAACCCATAATCCACAATCAAATCCGCAACCTCCAAAACCTCCTCCTCAATATCCTCCACTCGAAACTTCTGCCCCCTCCCACTCAGATTCGCACTAGACCCCACCATAACCTGCCCAGCCTCATAATTCAGCCTACAGATCTCCCGTAACAACGAGCCCCCACCCACGAACATCGCAACCGTGTCATCCTTAACCACATTGGCTAGTGTTTTCGGGGTAAATTTCGCCAGAATAGGGTGTTCCGGTCTGTACGGAGCCACGATGCCTAAACCCATATCGAGGTCTTGAGTGAGAACGCGGGTCATGTGGAACCTCTCCGCATCGAGAACATGCAGCTCATGATGCAGCTCGTAGGATCCAATCAGACCGTGGGCGTGACCTGGACGGCGTTGCTTCGCGGAGAAGGCTCGCTCGATCGCCTCAACGGAGGAGGCTAGGAGGCCGTAGCCGACTTCTGTGGGGACGATGGCGATGCCTCCAATTTGGAGAACGTTGAAGACATGCTGGGCGTCGGAGATGGTGTTGGGGAAGTGGCCGGGTAAGGGGATTGTTTTGGGGTTGGGGGTGGGAGAAGACATTTTGTTGACGTCGAAGATTTCCAAATTATAAAAAGGGGAGAAATCTAGGACTATTCTTCAATTGTATGGGTGGTGGGGTAGGATTCTGCTGTAGATATTCTATTGTTGTTGATCACCCACCGTGCGCTGGCGGGTCAGATTTTAGCTGGCATTTTGGTACAAAAACTGGATTTCTGTTTATCCGCGGGGAGTTGGAATTCGGCTTGTGTTATATTAAGCAGAGCTACGGTTTATTGAGGCTTTTATAAGGTAGAAGGCGTATGTATATGATGATTGTCATACTCAATCTCAAGATACAGGGGTTTGGTTTGGATGGTTTTGGCATGTCGCATTGTTCTGCAGCCACTCCTTCACTTTCTCCGCGGCAATAAGCAGGGGTGCCGTACGCTACCTCTGGCATGGCTCTGGCCCTGCCGCTAGCTGGGAGACTGTTGCTATTCTCTTTTCTTTTGGCTCTATCATCGAAATGAAATTTTATCCTGGTTTTATGCTCAACATGAAACGCACAAAATAAACGTCAAATAACCCCTTTGGCTCTGGTGGAGTGTGTCTGTGCGGCGCGGGTGTGTCCCGTTGATTTGCCGTGGGTCTCAATTCACCGCAACACTTCTGATGAAACTGAGAATATGTATGACGGAAGTGGTTAAGTGAGGCCACACGAGCCCATCTTCCCATATGGTGTACGATGTATGAATAGGAAGCAAAAGCACTTTAACTACCCGGTTTTGGGTGCGAAGGAATCCGACTGTGGCAGAAACATCACCATCATAGGCAAGCAGAGTAGACATATATCTTCTTCAGTTTTCTTGATATATTTTCGGGTCGACGCGAGAAAGTCCGACGTCTATGGAAAATGGCTACCATTATCTGACTGAGGGGCTCATTGTTCGGCCTTATTGGTGCATGTCAAATCGGTGGTCATACAGACTTCCACGATGGATTGCTGCCCCCAAATGCGCTGCCCGGCGTCTAGCGCTAATCACTAGCTCCTTCTGCCTCTGGTACTTCGGACACTTGTTGCACCCACACACTTTAATGTCCATCCTACAGCCTAGTGAAATATTAAATAGCTATGGACAAGAGCCGTCGAACGAGAAAATCCACCAAAAAGAGCAAGACAGGTTGTCGAACCTGTAGGTCAGTAAGCCT